CCAGGTACGGAGTACCACAATCAAGACTTCTTTTATCTCACTGAGTCATTTAGTGGCCGCTGAAAGACACAGCATTTGTTTTCGTAGGGGTTTTTTTTTTGCCTCAGTTCTTTCTTTGCTGTCTGGTGTCTCTATCTCTCCTTGGTACTGGCACATTTGTCTGCCTCCTCCAGTGTTGTATTGAATATTACCAAATTGATTTTCTTAGCAAGAGAGCCATGGCAGACATTTTGGCCTGCTATGCCTGCAATATGAAGCCAAAGCACGGGTACTTCTCTTTGTTAGTAGATCACAGCAACATTGGGCAGCCTGTGTCCCCTAAACTATAAGTTCAGTGAAGAATACCAACGCCGTTGCCAGTTTTGAAGTAAGATTCCAACCGCCAGCCCTGTCAACTTCTTTAGACTGAAAACGGGACAGGGGCCGGTCTTGTCCTGGCCTCACACAGCAAAAAAATATTGGGCTGGCAAGGAACCGCAGGCCAGAGATCAAATGTGTCTCCCCAGGCCTCTTTATCCAGCTTTCAATGCTCTTCATTATTTCAGGCCACCTTCTCGGGCCACACCTTCTCTCCACAGGCTGCAACCCTACACTGGCCCTGATCCACAAACGCCTCAAATGCTTTCTTGTGGCTGGAATGTGTCATGTAACTGTGATAATGCCTCTTGCTTGCAATGGGTGAACGCTGGAGAGGTGTGTGAGGATGAAGGGTTGCTGACTTTTACATGGCTGAAAAGAAGCCTGCTATACAAGGTTAAGGTGCTGCCTTATTATTATTATAACTACTACTAGTAGTAGTAGTACTAGCACTAGTACTATTGTTGTTGTTTTTATCACCCTGCCCATCTGACTGGGTTGCCGCAGCCACTCTGGGCAGCTTCCAACATATATAAAAACATAATAAGACATTACACATTAGAGGGGCCACTAGGGGCGCATCAGAAGATGGCTGACAATAACATCTCTCCAACCCACACGAGGTAATTAGGAGGCTATGATGGGAGTAAATAGCCTCCCTACCCCCCCAAGGTTGTGGGGGGGCTGCCCTTGCCTGCTGTGCCCTATACCACCCCCGAATTTGTGGGGATGGGGGCACTAGGCAGAATGCCCTCCTGTGGATCTCGGCGCTCCTGGACGCTGTCTCTGATCCGCGCCTCTAGCTGCAAGAACTTCAAAAGAAACAATTAGGAGGAAGCGAATGCACATATTTCAAGGAAGGAGGGGGAGTAAAGACTGCTAACTGAAGAGATCTCTGATAAACAAGACGGGTCGGAAGAACAAGAATAAATCATGAGAAGATACGCCAAGGCTCGGTATGGCAAAGGGACTGGATGGGGGAGGGGGAAAAAACTTTCCTTTCTTTCCTCTATGTGATTAAACAAGAATCCCCCCCCCCACAAGTCAGAAATGCCGTTTTAATGACTTAAGCCGTGGATTTATGACTGTGTGGAGATAAATTTTCTAACCAAAGCATGTTTTAAGAAGATCATGGAAAGTATAAGAGCTTTGGAATGACGCAGTTAAAAATACCGTCGCCATGTTGGCAAGCTCTGTCGGAGGACTTGAGTCTGGGAGGAGGAATAGAGCCGTTTTTATATTGTGGGTGAGACTCCTCAGAGGGACTTAAGAACGACAGATTCGAGATTAATGATGGAAAGAGCGATGTTATTTATGAAAAGCGATGATATATGGAAACCATCTCGATATGAGGATTGGACGAATGGAAAAATTCATACAGGATTATAATTGGTGTTTATCTGCTTAAGGAGATTATCAGAAGAGATCATAAAGAAAAAAAGAAAAAATATACGAACAAGATGAGGTGTGGAAACAGCAAGATAAGACTGGATAGAATTATGAACTTTATTTGGACTGATTTGGATATTAACGCAGTAGCAAGAAGATGATCGGAATCCCACTTCGGAACTTGAAATATGGGTCCCCTCAACAAAAATTTAAAATTCGGCTTTGTAATTCGGAATTTATGTGATGTGATTTGATTTGATTTGATTTGATTTGATTGCTCGGTTAATAATTTTTTTTTTTTAAAAAAGAAGACATTACACATTAAGAAGCTTCGTTATACAGTGGTACCTCAGGTTAAGTACTTAATTCGTTCCAGAGGTCCGTACTTAACCTGAAACTGTTCTTAACCTGAAGCACCACTTTAGCTAATTGGGCCTCCTACTGCTGCCACGCCACCGGAGCACGATTTCTCTTCTCATCCTGAAGCAAAGTTCTTAACCCATAGAATCATAGAATCATAGAGTTGGAAGAGACCACAAGGGCCATTGAGTCCAACCCCCTGCCAAGCAGGAAACACCATCAGAGCACTCCTGACATATCGTTGTCAAGCCTCTGCTTAAAGACCTCCAAAGAGGGAGACTCCACCACACTCCTTGGCAGCAAATTCCACTGTCAGGAAGTTCTTCCTAATGTTTAGGTGGAATCTTCTTTCTTGTAGTTTGGATCCATTGCTCCGTGTCCGCTTCTCTGGAGCAGCAGAAAACAACCTTTCTCCCTCCTCTATGTGACATCCTTTTATATATTTGAACATGGCTATCATATCACCCCTTAATCTCCTCTTCTCCAGGCTAAACATGCCCAGCTCCCTTAGCCGTTCCTCATAAGGCATCGTTTCCAGGCCTTTGACCATTTTGGTTGCCCTCCTCTGGACACGTTCCAGTTTGTCAGTGTCCTTCTTGAACTGTGGTGCCCAGAACTGGACACAGTACTCCAGGTGAGGTCTGACCAGAGCAGAATACAGTGGCACTATTACTTCCCTTGATCTAGATGCTATACTCCTATTGATGCAGCCCAGAATTGCATTGGCTTTTTTAGCTGCCGCGTCACACTGTTGGCTCATGTCAAGTTTGTGGTCAACCAAGACTCCTAGATCCTTTTCACATGTACTGCTCTCAAGCCAGGTGTCACCCATCTTGTATTTGTGCCTCTCATTTTTTTGCCCAAGTGCAATACTTTACATTTCTCCCTGTTAAAATTCATCTTGTTTGTTTTGGCCCAGTTCTCTAATCTGTCAAGGTCGTTTTGAAGTGTGATCCTGTCCTCTGGGGTGTTAGCCACCCCTCCCAATTTGGTGTCATCTGCAAATTTGATCAGGATGCCCTTGAGTCCATCATCCAAGTCGTTGATAAAGATGTTGAATAAGACCGGGCCCAAGACAGAACCCTGTGGCACCCCACTAGTCACTCTTCTCCAGGATGAAGAGGAACCATTGATGAGCACCCTTTGGGTTCGGTCAGTCAGCCAGTTACAAATCCACTGAGTGGTAGCATAGTCAAGACTGCATTTTACCAGCTTCTTTACAAGAATGTCATGGGGCACCTTGTCAAAAGCCTTGCTGAGATCAAGGTAGGCTACATCCACTGCGTTCCCTTCATCTACCAGGCTTGTAATTCTGTCAAAAAACGAGATCAGGTTAGTCTGACATGACTTATTTTTCAGAAATCCATGCTGACTATGGGTGATCACAGCATTCCTTTCTAGGTGCTCACAGACTGTTTGCTTAATGATCTGCTCCAGAATCTTCCCTGGTATTGATGTCAGACTGACTGGGCGGTAATTATTTGGGTCCTCTCTTTCCCCCTTTTTGAAAATAGGGACAACATTTGCCCTCCTCCAGTCTGCCGGGACTTCGCCTGTTCTCCAGGAATTCTCAAAGATGACTGCCAGTGGTTCTGAGATCACCTGAGGTACTCTTTCTGGGTTAGTGGAGTCTGTAACCTGGCCTGATCTTGCAGGCTCTTCTTATGTACAGGAGAGAGGGGGGCAGCACATTGGCAGAGATGCTTTGAACACAGTCATGCTTCAGCCCTCTTCCCCCCCACCCTGCCAGTCATCTCTGTTATGTTGAGGTGCAGTAAATGGACCATTGGCCTGCACTGGTGTTTCTCTCTTAATTTGCTGAAAGGAAAAAAAACGCAGAGAGAACGGGTGGCGAGACATGTTCCTCGCAACCCACACTGAAAAAAGTAACCTCTGCCTCCCTCTGTAAGTGTAGCTAGACGTGATTTAAAGCTGCATCATGCGGCTTTGATAAATGATAAATAATTAGCTGGCTCGGCTGGAACATTTCATTCTTAATTATCGTGGTTATATATTATTAATAAAGGTGTTTACTTGTCATCATGCCAAGCCATTTGTCAGGGGACAGCAGAGAAAGGCAGAATAATTCAGAATTACAATTAGTGGCCCGACATCAAGGAACGCTGCTACTCTGAAAACACACGTGCTTATCTAATGAGGCAGGGCTGCAAGAGCTCCGGAGACTTGCACGGCGGTGACCACACCAGACAGAGTATGTGCCTTCCTTAGGATGCAGAGGAGAATGAGAAATCAGAAATGTGTGGAATCCTTGAGGGGTGAAATGACTCCTTTCTTTTATATTTGGAACTCTTTCGACTTCCCTCTGACATTTTGCGCTAAGAGATGCATCTGCAGCCCTGGCACTGCTTACGGATAACAGGACTTACTAACTGCTTCCCCCATAGACTCACCCTTTCTGCAGAAAGAGTTTCTCAGCCTTTCTTCTGTTTGAGACGCAGACAGATGGGAGCAAAGCCCTTCCTCGTAATTTATAACCATCATACGCCTCTAATCCTTTGCTCTCATTCTCCATAAACCTTCCAACAGGAGTTCGAAGGATTCTGGCCTGGCTTCCTTGATAAGAAGCATGGTCTTGGTAAAATCCCCTAGGTAGGCCTTTAAACTTTTTCCCTGAAAAAGTCTCCATTGCCTCACAGGGCACGCTAAGCAAAGGTAATGCAGTTTCGGGGGGGGGGTGTGTGTTAGGGTTTTGATACTGATTCTGGAGAATCTAGTTGTTTGTTTTTTGAAACAAAAAACAAACAACTACATTCTCAGGATTATTGAGATTGGTTTCAAAACCGTCTCTAGAGTTCTGGCACAGAATTGTAGGCCTATTCAATTTTACTCCCCTACCCTGACTTACCACGAGCAGGAAATATCACGCTAAGCACCTTATAGCATAAGACTTTTTCCTTCTTATTCTGCCGGTAGATCAGAGTTCTTCATCCTAAGCTTCATTATTGTGGCTTATCTTTCTCAAAGAAGGTCCATGTAGGTCCTGATATTACTGTTCCTAATCCTCTCTTTAAGATGAGATGCCCAGGTCTGCAGGGAAGCACAGTGCGGAAACGCACAGAAGGTGAAAATCGCATAATGTCTGTATGTATCTCAGGCGCAAAGAGACTCATGCACACAAAATCTTGTTGAAGGTGGCCTTCAATGACCCAAGGTGTCAGACTTGGCAAGATCACTCTGACAGCTTGTGTGCCTTCAGTGATTCCCACCCCAGTTCCACACACACACACACACACACACACACACACACATATATATCTTCTTCTTTGGCGATCACTTGTAGCCGAGTAATATTGTTTTCCATAAACACAGTTTTAACAATGAGTCCGTAAGTGACTGTGGAGGCCAATTCTGGATCCACACGTCCTTCCACAGTGGGGACTTAGGTTTCCGGGCGGGAGCTGATCACGGTGTGGATTTGCCAAGCATGCCTTCCTCCTACCACGTTTCTCCCTTGAGTCCTGAGTTTGAGTGTCTTCAAAGCCCATGACACTTCAAAGCCCATGGTAAAGGTTTTACCTTTTCCATATATACGTGAAAGCATTCACGCAGCCATGTCTTTGAGGCAGAAGAGCCACCACCAACAGCATGGAGCAATTGGTATTTGCAAAGTCACATGATAGCATGTTAAAGAGCTGGTGTGGTATAGTGCTGGTTGAGAGACTTTGGGAGCCACCTGTACAAATAGGTAAAAGGTAAGGTAAAGGACCCCTGGATGGTTAGGTCCAGTCAACGGCAACTATGGGGTTGCGGCTCTAATCTCGTTTTCAGGTTGAGGGAGCTGGCGTTTGTCCACAGACAGTTTTCCAGGTCATGTGGCCAGCATGACTAAACCACTTCTGGTGCAACGGAACACCATGACGGAAACCAGAGCACATGGAAACGCCATTTACCTTCCCGCTGCCACAGTACCTATTTATCTATTTGCACTGGTGTGCTTTCGAACTGCTAGGTTGGCAGGAGCTGGGACAGAGCAACGGGAGTTCACTCCGTCGCAGGGATTCAAACCACTGACCTTCTGATCAGCAAGCCCAAGAGGCTCAGTGGTTTAGACCACAGCGCCACCCGCGTCCCATGTTCAAATACTCAGCCAAGAACTCATCCTCAGGCAAGCCAACATCTCTCAGGCTGAATTCCACCACCAATACAATATGGGAGAAATTATGATGCAAATAGAGTATGTGGAAAGATGCTTGAATGTATTTTTCCTGTTGTGTGATAAGACCAAAGGTGAGGATGGTTTTGCAGGACCTCACACTGCATTAACATTCTCCTACAGAGCCCCTGCCCCCCGCAACATGGCCATGTGAGTCAGCATTTAAAAGACTGAGCAGGGGAAAATAACAAGGGAACTAATTCTTCGACATGATCTGGTGAGAAGAAACTCACTTTATATAAGGTAGGAAATCAGGCTGGTGATTTCTCTGCTTTCTGCTGAGAAATGTTCGGCCTTGCAATGTCGCTTTGATGAAGGGAGAATTACCTGGCTTGCCAAAAGAGACTAAATACTTCATGATGTTTCCTGCTGTCCAAGGCTCAGGACTCCTGCGAACATTCCCTTTTGAAAAACAGGGCAATTTTGCCTGAAGAACCTCCTTTCTGAGCTCTGGTGCTTTCCCTTCCTAGCTTAAAAGTCTTCGTGACATCTGTTTTTAGAATAATTTGGGACACCCACTGGCAGTGGCAGGAAAGGTGCACACAGACACACACGCATTTCTGGGAACAAAAGAGACAGTTTTATAAAAGAAACCCTTATAGCTAGAAATTCCTGAACACTGTACTTTAAAGTGTTTTCCAAAAGAGTAGGGGGTTTTTTGTGTCAACAGGACAAAGGAGCCAGTTATATTTATGTACCCAGTGCATGCCCTACCCAACTATCATAAATGTACATAAATTTGTTTCTTGGTACAAACGATTATTCAAAAGTTTGCAGCAGGGATTGGCGGGTGGGGGGCCATGCAGACCTATAGATGATGTTGAGCTACACTGGCCAGGCTGGCTGAGGATGATGGGAGTTGAGAGTCCATCAATTTCTGGGGGGCCATATGTTCCCTATTCCCAATGTATACACTTGTGGAAACAAACAGAAAGCCTTGTGTACTCCAGATGCAAATTGCATGGTATCTACTTGTTAGAAGTGCAACAGCAGGGATCATTCAATTCATAACTTAAGGGTTAATTCTGCTAGTTTTAAAGTCAGGTGTTGCTTAGCAACCTGGTGGAGTGGCATGATCTACCCTGAGGTAGCGTGGGCTCTGATTGGCTGTGTAGTTCTGAGAGAGCTTTCCTCTATATGTTTGGTTGAATGTCTCTGTGCTGTGTACACAAGGCCTGAACTCAGAAAGACAAACTATCTTTGTTTATTTCTCCTCAGACACTGCTTTGTTCAGTTTTCTCAATGAAGTGTTGTCAGGGCTTTGACCTTCAGCTGTGTTGTTTTTCTTTTAAATATACCATATTTTTCGCTCTATAGGACGCACCTTTTCCCCTCCAAAAATTAAGGGGAAATGTGTGTGCGTCCTATGGAGCGAATGCAGGCTCCTTGGCTTCAGCGATAGCAACATGAAGCCTCCAACGCGCAGAGGGAGCGCTCCCTCCGTGCTCCAGAGGCTTCGTGTTGCTTTCGCGGAAGCCGGGAGAGTGCGAGGGGTCGGTGCGCCCCGCCCCCTCTCACTCTCCAGGCTTCAGGGATAGCCGCCTGAAGCCTTTGGAGCCCAGTGCGAGTTCCCGCTCTTTGGGACTGGTGGGGGGGGGAAAGATTTTTTCCCTTGATTTCCCCCTCTAAAAACTACGTGCGCCTTATGGTCCGGTGCGCCTTATGGAGCGAAAAATACAGTATATATTTTATTAAAGATTTCTTAGTTTGCAAAAATATGTGCATTGTCTCTTTTTTCAAGCTGTGTTTTCTACAGATCAGTTTCATTTGTTGTGAGACATTAGTGTTACATACAGTGTTAGGTTAGGAAAAAAAGGGGGAAAGAGGTGGAGGGGGAAATGGTGAGTGGGGTGGGGTCGGGTGGTGTTATTTAAGTGATTTTGCTAACATTGCTGCTTTTTTGGACTGTACAGAGCCAATCCTAACCTGTAAAGTCGTACTGGAGACAATTGACTCTTGTGTGCACACATAATACAACCAGTGCCTGCGCAGCAAAATTTTCTGAGTCAAGGGAGTGGTTTAGTTGTTAGAATTTCAGATCAGCCCAGAACTAGGAAGGCACAGGTTCAAATCCCCTCTCAGCCATGAAGCTCACTGGGTCACTGTTGTCAATAATTCTAATTTTCCACTTCAGCCCATGCCCGATCTTAATATGGAGTACTATAAAGATAATGGCTTTAAAAGCTGGATGGCTTTAAAGAAATTCACAGATAGGGCTATCAGTGGCTACTTGCCACAGTGGTTATGTTCTACCTCCACTGTTAGAGACAGTAGGACTCTGAATGTCAGTAACTGGGAATCACGAGGAAGAGGATGCTAGACTAGATGGGCCTGTGACCTGATTGATGGGGAGGCTGATGCTGATGAAGACATCTTTCCGCAGGGCCTGCAAGACAGAACTGTTCCACCAGGCCTTTGGGCAGGATGCAGTTTGACTTACCTTCCATTGTATAAAACAAACCCGAAGGAGGCCCCCAACCAGCTCACAGGTCCTTGTATGCTCAGTGGAAACAGTGGCGGAGCTTCAAGCTCCGGCGGGGGGCAGAGAGCAGGCGTGGGTGTGGCTGACGCGTGTCCCGGGGGTGTGGCACGTGCCCTGGGAGTGTGGCATGCTTCCTGGGGGCATGGCGTGCTGCCTGCAGGGGCGTGGCGCCCGGGGGGACAGCCGCAGTGGCACCCCACCGTGTTCCTCTGCCAGTGAGTGGAAACAGTTGGTCCTGGCAAGTATTAACCACTCTCAAATGAAACCTGATAATTGCCACCTGCCCAGATTTTAACTTGTCTGAATTAATTTTAAGATGTATTTTCATTAATTGATGTCTGTTTTTATGCATATTGTGTTGTTTTTATTATGTTAGCCACTCTGAGCCCAGCCTTGGTCAGGGAGGGCGGGATACAAATGAAAATAATAATTATTATTATTATTATTATTATTATTATTATTATTATTATTTTATGAAAAATAAAACACCAATCCTGAAAATACTGTGGAAATATGGGGTGGCTTTTTCCATTAATGGCTGTACTTGATATTCTCCGGTGCTTTCCCATGTATGTCTCTGAAAGTACTTTCCAAACACTGGTTTCAGTAAAATTAACAGGAAGTGCTATGTGTTTCCCGAGGGACCAATTATAGCAGGGGGAAAATTACACAAAACTGCAATTCTATCTGTGGGATAGCAGCTCTTACACCCAGTCAAGCTTGACTCAGTCAGCGAGGCTCTTGGCCCCTGGGCAATACATTCCCTTTTTTCCAAATAACTTCTTGGGGAGCTTGAAGCCTTGGAAGACAAGGCCTTTGGCTGATGGGAGCAGGTTAGTGCAGTCAGCACTTCTGGTCCCCCGGGTCTTACAATTCCTTTTCAAGAGAGTACGTACAAGTTATCCAGTGACAACATCCGTAGCACAGTGCAGCATTCTCATGTGAGAGATTTGATGGTATTTTTGGAACAAAAATAATTTCAAGGCAGAGAATATTTCTGAGATTATAATATATATACTTTGACAAATCTGTGATCTGCAAACGTTCCAGCTGGACAAAAACTTTTGACATAACGAGTATTGATAGAAGAAACTAGGGGGAGGGAGGTTTGCTGCCAAAAGTCACACAAACTGAAATTAAAATACAGTGGTACCTCGGGTTAAGTACTTAATTTGTTCCGGAGGTCCGTTCTTAACCTGAAACTGTTCTTAACCTGAAGCACCACTTTAGCTAATGGGGCCTCCTGCTGCCGCTGTGCCGCCGGAGCACGATTTCTGTTCTCATCCTGAAGCAAAGTTCCTAACCCGAAGTACTATTTCTGGTTTAGCGGAGTCTATAACCTGAAGCGTATGTAACCTGAAGCGTATGTAACCCGAGGTACCACTGTACAGCAGTGCCATAACACTTTCATGAACGCACCACACATTCAGCCTGAACTTGGTTTTTAAAACCATTGCTGCCATGCTTACCTTAAGAAGCCTATATTCCCACTAGAATTGCATACTCATGTTTATTTTTAACACTTCCAACTGAAGGAGATGCCTGGTAATACATCACTGTGAAGATTGGGACCACAGAAGTTTTGGAGTGGCTGGCTTAGGAGACAGCATTCCCTGTGGTGGCCCCTGAGCTATGGAATTGCCTTTTCTACAGTGGTGTATCTGGCATCCTTGTTGCATAGCTTCTGTTATATGGCAAAAATATACCTGTTTTCCCTAGCCCTTGACACCTGACACACATATATTTAAGGACCACCCTATTCTCCCGATTGCACATTAAACTCGAATATAGAATTTTTATATTGTTGTAACCTGCGCTGGGTTCTCATAATGAAAGGTAAACAGAAACCTAAAGTAGTAGTAGTAATGTGTGCTGTTATTATCGAAGCAGGTCTGCTTTTCTTTTCCTCCTTTGATTTCAGGCAATGCCATACAAGCTGTAACAGATCATTTCCCCTCCAACGACGATTGTTTTGTGGAAGAATGGAAACCTATTTAAAGAAATATTACTGTATGATGAATTCGCAGGCAGGATTTGAACTATGAGCAACAGAAGGAATTAAGAGATTCTTGTATTATTGTTGTGGTATAAGAGAGAGAAGACAGGGTGCAGCAAGGGGGAGAAATAAAAAAACACCGTGGAAAATGGGATGGGAAGCCAACAAAAGAAAAGAAAAGAAATATTATGTATAGGAATGTATATGTGAATCTTTAAAAATTTAATAAAATATAAGTGGGGGGAGGAAAACATCATTTCCCCTCAGAAACCTAGGACCCTTTCAATTTTCCAGTAGTCAGCAGCCAAGGAGGGAGGTTTCAAGGCCTTTATGACTGTTGTTCTGATCTCCACAGTTGTAGACGTCCAGGCCAAATGAGGACAAAAGGGCTGGTTTGCAGCGTATTTGCAGCTCTCTATCTATCCACAGGTACACTTTCTGCAAGGGTACCTGCCATGCACGAACAAAACAAACATCAGGAAGCAAGTAATTGCTACCTGGGTGTTAGTATGCTTGGCCTTTCAGGAGATGTACGAGTCCAACTTGGGAGCTGCTACGAGTCTTGAAACTACCAGAAGAGGTGAAATAAACATTCACAACAAATAGCATTTCCTGCTCCGATAGGTGTAGCTTTGTACATGATTGTGTGGAGAGTTTACTGGGGTTCTAGTCACCCGATCTATTCTCTCATGCCGTAGGAAGAGGCAGTCCGGCTAAGGCCTCCATTTTGAGAGGTCAGGGACTGAAGAGAGATTAAAATGGATGTTTCTCATCCTTCTCCCCTGCAATTCTCTAAGAAGAAAGAAGACAGACCCAAAGGAAAACAACTTCTACCTGGTCCTTTATTAACTGGAGGTCTGGTTTTAATACAGACAAAAACATCCATGTGAGAGCAATCATTGCACAGCTAAGTACATTGGGAGAGTCAGATTTAAGGTGGTTTCAGTAAGGGATAAAAGCACCACACAACTTACGAAAGGTGTTTAAAATCTGTATACTGATGATGTCCTGTGGAGAGCAGAATTTGCAGTGAATTCATCTATGCTAACTTTGTTCTGCTAAATAAAATATGTATAATAGAACTAGGATTTTGATATTATGTGTGCTTAGGATGAGAGTCGGCTTTAGTGAACAACATGTGTTTTACTTTGAATAAACATGATAGGCTCAAGGTGTGGTTTTGGTGTATGTATCCTGCCAGGTAGAACCACACATGCTGTGGAAATTATATTGTCATGAATTTTAGGAGTCAGCCTGCGTACCTTCTAAAACCTATGACTCTGTATCAGTGAGGCTAGAATGTATAAGAGGGAACCTGATGGACCAACCAAACTATTATTATTATTATTATTATTACTCCTATTATTAATTAAAGTTCTGTACCATGTTTGATCTGAAGATCACAGATATAAAAATACAAAAATACATAGCATAATAGCAAACAGAAACAGTTTAAAAGTCCATAGATGGTTTAATTAGCCAAAGCCCTGAGAGAAAAGAAATGTTTTTGGCTGGCACCTAAAGGTGCCAGGCGAGTCTTCCTAGGGAGAGCATTCCACAAGCTGGAGCCACAGCAAAAAAAGGCCTGTTGCCGTGCTGCTGCCTTTCAGACCTCTTGTCAAGGTAATGACTGTAGCTACGCAGCTAAGTACCTGACATCTACATCTCAAAAGCGTAAGCACCACTGCCATAGAAACAAATGGGTTGGCCTTTCCCCCACCCTGATCTCACCTGGTTGCTAGGTAGAAGAACAGCCAAAGTTGTTGTATGAGAGAACTGGAGCTAGAGATACGTTTTGCTTCGTGCTGAACCTAAAATAGATTTGGGGAATGTCTGGAAACCTAATGGAGACACAAGATCTGTTGGGGTGTTAATGCTGTGTGCCTCTCCATCCTATACTCAGGTTGTATCCATGTGAAAATTAAACCATATGTCCCAAAGACAACACAGTCTCTGCTGACCTTCATTCCAAAGAATCCTGAAGAATCCTTCATTCCAAAGAAACTGAATCCTGGAATCTCTTGCTGCTGGGGTGGTGGATAACAATACAATCACGTATTCTCCACATATATATATCACCTTAAAAAAGAAAAATTAAAAATGGAAATGTGAGAAATGAGTAACATTTGTCCCTTTTTAATTGGAACAAACAATATGTTTGTTTTTAAAGCAGAAAATGTGTGTTTTCAAATGAGGGAGGGTGCCCAGCTCTATTCTGTGTTTCTGTCAATGAATCCACTATTCCTAATTCATTACAGACTAGTTTTGGATGGCTATTGACTTCTTGACACTTTACAGCAAAGAGAATTAATAAAGCATTGAGTCAGGCTACCTCTGTGCTACTTCTAAGTGATATATAGGTGATTAAGACAAACTAAACTCTCTCCTATTCTCAGATAAGCTGCTATTAAAGTAATGAGAAGGGAGGGGAAGAAATAATCGCTCGGGAGAAACTGGGCAGACAGATCTTGGAGGAAGGGCACCTTGGAGGAGACACGGCTCGTGACAGTTGCCAAATTGCTAAAAGTAAGCTGTTCACAACATAATGAAAAGCAATGGCCTCTGAACTAGTCACATAGGTCAGTAGTGGAAAAGCAACGTTGTGCACCATCATACATAGCATGGTCCTCTGAGGGTGGGTTTGGGATGCGTTGATTGGTTTACGAAGCTTAAACGATTATTCAATTGGTTGGCAGCAGATGAGAAACAGCACTCACCCATCTCCTTTGAAAAGTTCAGGAGCTCTCTAATCTACAGCTCAATGGTGGGCCACATGTTTTGTCTGCAAAAAAAACACTCCCACAGGACTGGGAAATACACATAAGAAAATAAGATGAGCCTATTGGTCAGGCTAGTGTTTCATTTAGTTCCTGTTCTCAGAGTGGCCAACCAGGTGCCGGGGGGGCGGGACTTTCAAGCAGGCTCTGAACACAAGAGTTGAGTAAATCATTGTAGACAGCGCCAGTTAGGGTGGGCAGCACTGACCCAGATGGTCCTATCGTCCAATTTGGTACCTAGCAGTCTTCCTTCTGAATCCGGATTGAGGTCTCTAAAGCCCTGTGCCTAACTATTCCCACTTCTGGTTTGTCAACAGTGTTCTTTCCTCAGTCTTGTCTTTTCTCAAGAAGGTCTTTATGTAAACTTCTGGCTAGAGATGTGGCACATTGAGTCTGCGAAGTGTGTGCCTTTGAACTGAGTTCAGGCCCCACTCTTGGTCGAATCATGCCCATGGGTGCTTAAAAGACACACACATATGTCATTCACACTTGTTTGCTGTGGCAGCCATTGGTCTGCCACATAAAAGTATGCACCACTCTCCATTTCCCCTCTGTGGCTCCAGTCCATTTTGTGTTTCAAGTGCTATTGTCATCATCACATATAAAATGCTGCCTTGCGGCTAACCTTGACTATTGCTGGGAATTAGTGAGGCAATCTGGGGATTAAGTACAGTACATCAAACTCTTGCAGCAGTGGCTTTTTAAAACAAAGAACTACCCAAAACCACCACAGCTGACACTCTTCAGTGCAAAAGGAGTTATTTGGGAAACTGGTACCTGAACTTCTGTTGGTTGCCGTGGCAACAGAATAGATTAGTGCCACGAAGAAAGAAGGAAGCAATATATTGTGGCTAAAGACAAATTCCTGTAGTGAGACTGTGGTCTGTGGAGATATTTCAAAAGTTGCTGGAATCCAGCAATTCCAAAATATGCAGCAGGGATCACAAATTTCTTGGATTTAAATATTTTGCTCAATCTTAATCTGATTTAGAATAGGGAAGTTTTCTGGGTTCCTGCAGTCCAGGGAACCACACCAGCTCTGTGCACCAGATGAACTCTCCAGTGCTGCCCTTAATTTCTGCATCTCAAATACCATTTCATTTTTGTTGCTTGGAAAGCAGTTGCTTTGTCTGTTATCATTTCATCGTTTTTGACTGTTTCCATAAGGCATAAGCATAAAATGCATTAATAGTGTGATTTGAAAGCACATCAGTTTCCCCCTCTTGCTTTAATATAGAGGTGAGGTAGGGATTTGCATTGGGACCACAGTTATGTATTCAGTGGTCTTGTGTTTGCCTGAGCTTGAGTCTGGACTACATGATATCCAATCACAGAACATTTCAGGATTTGGGCCTCTGCCATTGGCCCTTAAACTCTGAGTCATGATTCGCAGCTTGGAAGTTCAGACAGCCAATCACATCGGGAGTGGGAGTGGCCCAGGCCTCCAGAAATGTATATAAGCAGTTGCTTTGCCCCTGTTGTCCAGTTCTGTTGGTTCAGTAAAGGTTCTTGCTGTTATCACTGTGTCTTGCCTCATGGGAACCCACCTACACTTCACACAGCATGTGAGGAGCTGTGATCCTGACAGGAACCCCCACCCTTACCCCTGAAATTAGTGGTACGAAGAAATCTCCCATGGAGGATGATTTTGGTCATGATTGCCACTGGGGACAAAAGGATTAAACCTTCCTTCCTTGTGTGCCATTGTCCTAATATAATTTTTCCCTCATGCACAAACCTTTGATTAAACTTTTTTTTTAAAATGCTCTGATGTAACTACAAACTATTCTATGCATGTAATTAGGCCTCCTTTCATTATGTAAGTGTTGAAGACTAGATAACTTGCTAGAGCTGCAGAAGTGGTTTTTAATTTCTCCAGTGTCAGCACCTAACCTGAGGTGGATGTGCAAGTTGGTTAATTCCAGTTAGGACAATGTTTTGCATTGTTTTGGTGCAGCCCCTGGGCATCAGCTTGGTGGGGAATTTAGCCGCCTAGTCCATTTCAGTCTGACGCCCCTGCCTTAAATGCAGGCCACTTTCACACATAGCAAATGACTGTTTTGTAATCTGTAGCAGTTACCAAGGAAACACCTCACCTTTAGCAGGTCAACTGCTTTAAACACATTTTCTCTTGGACTGCATGATAGAAATAGCTGAAATAGATTTCAGAACCCTTAGTTTGGTTGCAAAGAAAATTAGTGCTACGTGCAAGCCTTAGCTCATTTTTGTTTTAGGGCTATAATTTCCTTATAAATCCATCGTGGGCGCGGCAGGGAGATTGTCATTGGACATTTTCCAAAGCCTTGCTGTTTTCCCCCTTGTTGATCCAGAAGTATCCCTTCCAATGGTGGTTTTTCCCCTCTGTGTGTTTCATAAGGGCCCTGTTGAGAAAGCAGAGTGCATGGGATGAGTGTTAGGATTGGGTAGGAAATGGTGGGCTGGGGGGGGTGGTGGAATGGGCCGATGTACTTAATATGCCACACAATGTCCCCACCACTTTCCCTTGAAAGATTTCAAAGCTGTATGTCATAGTAGCTTCTCAGATGCTCAAGAAATGAGAATTTCAGGGGTCTGTGAGAAGTGCCTCGTATCCTAGCTTTGCACGTCAACTTTGGGGCTTACTCTTGGATTTGTGCCAGTCTTCTTTGTAGCCAAAGGTCACAAAAGGTTGATCCTGGGCTGGAAAAAGGGTTCCATTAACAACTGCAAGGAGGATTATTACCACATTTAAATGGACAGAAGCTACGCAGCAGGTGGAGATCCATAAGGCAAATCCTGCTTATCTAGTCAGGCACAGTGAATGTAAAAACTTGATATTTTCATTTTTGGGGACGACATAGGCAGCTGCTTTATTCCAAGCCAGACCATTGGTCCATTGAGATCAGCCCTGTTTTGTGAAAGGGCGGTCTATAAATATTTTTATAGAAATAAATAGACCAGTATTGTCTATTCCAATGTTTCCCAAACTTGGGTCGCCAGCTGTTTTTGGACTACAACTCCCATCATCCCTAGCTAGCAAGGCCAGTAGTCAGGGATGATGGGACCTGTAGGCCAAAAACAGCTGGAGGCCCAAGTTTGGGAAACACTGGTCTATACTGACCGGCAGCAGTTCTCTAAAGTTTCAGACGAGGGTCTCTCCCAGCCCTACCTGGTGGTCTTGAGGGCAGACAAACTGGGCAACAGCCCATGGGCCCACACTTTAGGGCCTCCCAAAATCTTGTACAAAATCCTGTCTGCCTCCTTTATAGTCAGTCAGTCAGTCTCAGCTTGCCTTGTCTTTTGATGCCTTTCCCCACTTAAGCCAGGCCACACCAGCAGTACACAGGTGGAGGCGGCAGCCATTTTGTTTCCCTAAGACAGGAAAGGAGAAGAGATTCACAATTTCACAGGCATTGTTTCAAGGATAATAATAATAATAATAATAATAATAATAAATTTTATTTATATCCCGCCCTCCCCAGCCGAAGCTGGGCTCAGGGCGGCTAACAACAATAAAACAGTACAAAAGTACAGCACAAACAACACTCTAAACCATTCATTATAAAATTAATTCAAATCAAGCCACTGGCAGCCATTGGGCCAGAGCTCTGCGAAGATTGCCGAGGGAGGGAGTCAGGCTGTGCCCTGGCCAAAGGCCTGGTGGAACAGCTCTGTCTTGCAGGCCCTGCGGAAAGATGTCAAGTCCCGCAGGGCCCTGGTCTCTTGTGACAGAGTGTTCCACCAGATCGGAGCCACAGCCAAAAAAAGCCCTGGCTCTAGTTGAGGCCAGCCTAACTTCTCTGTGGCCTGGGACCTTCAAGATGTTTTTATTTGAAGACCGTAAGTTTCTCTGTGGGGCATACCAGGAGAGGCGGTCCCGTAGGTACGAGGGTCCTAGGCCGTATAGGGCTTTAAAGGTTAAAACCAGCACCTTAAACCTGATCCTGTACTCCACCGGGAGCCAGTGCAGCTGGTATAGCACCGGGTGAATGTGATCTCGCAGCGAAGACCCCGTAAGGAGTCTCGCTGCAGCATTCTGCACCCGCTGGAGTTTCTGGGTCAGTCTCAAGGGCAGCCCCACGTAGAGCGAGTTACAATAATCCAGTCTGGAGGTGACCGTCGCGTGGATCACAGTGGCTAGGTCAGGGCGAGAGAGGTAA